AAGTCATGGAGATATTTTGCAGCCAAGAAATGGAATGAACTATCAAATGACATTAGAATAAAAGTAGGCACCAATGAAATAGTAAACAGAATTAGATCACTAAATTTCGGGGATTAGTAAATTTGTGACATTAGTTTTAATAGTATTTTGGCTGCGGCGGTAATATTGTAATAATAGCTTTGAATAGTTTTAATCAGTATTTAATTTGTGATTTTTACTTGATGAATTGTGATATTAGCGTTGTTTAGTTGTTAGGTTCTCATTAGTTTTTAGGTGGAATACCTGTAGACTAGCTCTCAAGCTAAGCGTATATCCACGTTAAATAAAGCATTCATTCAATTCAAGTTGCAATCAGCCACATTTCTGATTAAGACTGGTATTGGGTAATTTTTGTCCAGCTACATAGTACATGGATGGATTCTTGTTGTAGTGGTTGTCATGTGTCTCTATAATTTTTCTAAAAAATTAAAACTTTATTTGCTGTCAGAACAACACTTTGAACCTTGTCCTAAAATCTACTTTCTACATTTACTTAATATTTATTAGTTTTTTAGTTCGGTTCTCCTTGATTTATTCAGAAGTAACTTAACATAACTCGAAGCTAACTAAAAAACTTTCCAGTTATTTAGCCTCCAGGCTCAATATTTGTACTTTTTTTAGTATGTGTGTGTGTTAGTTATGTATGTATGATTGTTGTAATTAAGTATAAGAGCGAATAAAGTTGATGTTGTTGTATATTCAGGAGACAAAAGTTTGAGACTCAAGAAATTATATTTTTCCACAGGTGGAAGCCTTTGTGCAGTGTCTGTTCATGGAGATTTGATATGTTCAGGATACTCAAGCAGTGCAGTTGTTATATGGGAAGGAGATGTAGAAAGTACCTCAAGCTACAGGGAACTGGTAACTACAACAGTTGATTCTCAAAGACAGAAACCTCAAGTTGCATCAACTGCCATCCACGACACCTTGTGTGCTGCTGGATTTGACAATGGTATCATTTAATATGTTTATTTAATACCAGCTTAGTGGCTTCGACAAGTCAGGAAATAGGCATTGTGCAGGAATGAGAGAGATTTTAAGTACCTCAGGTAGAAAGACACTGAACACCCAGACAAATATCCAACCACCAGCTTACAGACTGATTTTTAGTCATGCTATAACCACATGCTTCCAATGCAAATAAAGGGCTACTACAGTCACTTAGCCTTTCACATACATTACTCTCTCTGCATGCGTTATTGCCTATATTAGCAGCTTAGAATTATTGTGATACTTGCAGGCGATGTGTATGTTTGGCACACAAGCTTAGGGTCATCCCCACTGTGTCACTGTCGTTGTGAAGGGTCTGTAAAAAGTGTTTCTTTAGCAGCAACTGGCCCACCCACATTTGCAGCCATGTCAGATCATGAACTCAAGGTACTGTTGAGTGACTCCAATGGCCAGTGGTCATGTCTTGATTCCAGGAATTTTGAGGACAAGGTAGGCAAGTAATCTGACTGTGCCAAAATATTTCCCAAGGTTAAGTTTTTCCACCAATCTCACACCCAGACCCTGATGTATTTGAGACTACATGATCACGGGAAGTCTGGACACTAGATTATGTCACTAGTTGTTACCCTGCAAACAACATAAGTACATTCTCAGCCTTGAATGATTGGCTGTTGTTAACGTCAGAGGTATGGCAACCTTGCTGAATGTTTAAAGCATCAGAATCTGAATTGAGAAGTCTGGGTTGACCAAATTTGGCCAGAGTCATTGTATTGTATTTTTTTGGCTGGATATGTTACTCTAACAGTGCTTCTCTCTGCTGAAGAGTATTATGGGTATTGACATGAACAAGCTGACAAAATGCTGCAGAGTGTAAATCTGTAATGGCTGGCATTTCATTGACAGGGCGCAAAAATGACTGATTGGTCGACAGAGTGGGATGTAAAATGGTAATGTGGCAGTCAGTGTGCATGCCTGGCTGCTATTTTGAAAATCGAATGGTAGGAGGAACTGCAGACCCACACTGCCCATGTCTAGCCATTTTTGTGCCCTGTCCATCTCATCCAGGAGGTAGGGGAGGCAAATAATACACTTACCCTTAATCACTTGTTGTGATAAGCATTACTAGTAATAAGCTAGTAAGCTACAATCATGGACAAATTGTGTTGGAAAATGCCAAAAACATGAAATCATAATCGTAATACCTACAGAATAAGTGTCAACACCCCCATTCCCCCTTTCAATGTTGGAAAATGGTAAAATGCATACTTCTGCCAGATGAAAGTGTTTTGTCAACACTGCACAGGGGTGGGGAGGGGCAAAATGTGTATAGAATGATTTTTTCCAACCCTTGTTACCAAGGTTGTAGTTAGCTGAGCCTCTGATGATCCCTGAAGTATTAGAACAACCTTAGCCTTTGATAAAACCTTCCTTGATCTACAGATTGGACGGGCCATGTTTATTCCAAAAAGTAGTTCTGGTTCATCGACTGAACATGTTGCTATAGCAACCCAAGATACCGTGTCAGTCTTGGCACCTGGCAGAGGTTTTCTATCAACATTGGATCATGTGATTGGTGGAAAATTAAGCTCTATGGACTGTACTGCTGACCGCCTTGCTCTTGGAGTGGGCTCATATGGATATGGAACACTTGGAAACAAAGTAACACATGTATATAAAATAAAACGCAACATTGTAGTAACAAAACAAACAGAATCAACCAATTTGACAACATAGAGTAGTTTTCTGGTGGCTTTGAAAAAACAGATTACGCATTGAGCGAATCGGAATTCGAAACAAAAAAGTGCCGAAAGTGGAAAATTGGTCTGGGTTTTATTACTGATTAGGTGAAAATAAGCACGTTTCTCTATTTCGTACTAGCACTGCGCAATATTTGTGAGCAGACATCAGGTTGGCAACCCAATCAAGCACACAATGAAAATGAGTGCTGGTGAGACCAGCGTCAAAGCTTGAGAAATGTACGTTAGCGACGATTGCGTTTTGATTTTGTAATTTAATGGCCAAAGGAGATAATTGACCAGAGATATGCAGTTGTTTTTTCCGAAGGAGTACAGTTCAGTTTAGAAACCCAAGGAAGAAAATTCACTTCACAAGGCTCATTACTTAACAACATTAACCAACATTTCTGAATTCCATTTCGCATCAGTCGCAAGATTGTTTTGTGCCACCCTATTTAAGCAAAATGTATCATGAGGTATTTTAAGATTTTGCGATGATGTGACTTGTTTGTGTAAAAACCCTTCAGTTAACGTGTCTTCTTTGTGGGTCTCTTCTAAATTTAATTTATGTATTTCTTTTGTTCCCACTGTGTAGTTCTTGACCACTGTAGTTGAAACAAAGCTCTTAACTCTAATAAGGTTTCCCTTTTAATAGATCAAAAGATTTCTTTATCTTTTCTTTTCCAACCATTAGGTGCGTTTATACTGCCTGGAAACCACAAAAATGATTTCCATATTAGGAGCCCACTACCGCGAGATCACGTGTCTTGATCTTGCCAGTTGTCCACCGCATCGCCTCGTGACAGGCAGCTATGACTGTAGGGTGCGGGTTTTTGACCTGCGCACTGAAAAGATAGCTCTTTCATTTCACTTGGGACACAAACGAGCAGTCACCGCCGTACAAATGGACGACTGGAAAGTGGTCAGCGGTGCAGAGGACGGAACATTACTAGTCTGGGATCAGCGGATGACGTCAGCTTTGTGGATGACGCATGCGCGGCATCCAGTAAGGCTCTGCAAATTACAAGGCTCCCGGATGATTACGGCGAACATTCCAGTAGATAAAAGCCCGCGCGAGAATCTTTGGTATGCAGACGATTTGATTCTTCACCGAAGACATCGAGGAATCATACGTATGTTTGATTTCTCAGTGAATAATGCGACTGAGGGCATTCCGGATATTTGCTCCTCCAATTATGACGATACAAGCGGTTACAACTATAACATAAAGCTCAGCGTGCCATATGACAGCATAGAGTTGTAAATGTGAAAAAAAACAACAAAGTTTAAGTACTGGTTTCGGGGTTGGTATCCTTGGCCTAGTTCAATCCAGGGCCGTGGTCTTTGTGTTGTTATCTGGGGCAGGACCGACCTGATGACATACTCAGGGCAACCTATGATTGACATGCGTGGCTGGCAGCTTACAACTACAATAAGAACGCTCACCTGGAAGGTGTTGTAAGTGCTTGCAATGACTCAGCAGGAACCCAGCCTCGGTCAACACAATACCACATAACATGTGTTTTAAAAAATTCGTGTTACAATGAGAACTGAGAGGCAAATTATACTCCTACGGCAAGACACTCAAAGAAGCGTTACATTACGTAGTTTTACAACAACGGACTAATTGCGCATTGTGGATGATGTCACTTACCAGATGGTCAGCATGGATATGAACGTGCGAAGGTCCAATTCCACAGTCCTGCAAATCCACTCAATACGGCGAGCACAACTTAGAAGGCATGACAGCTGACACCTTCGTCTTCAGGGAACAGATCAAGTTAAGGAAAGAAATACTGGTGTGTATGTCCAGGCCCCCGTTGGTAACTTGAAGCCGGCGGGTCCGAACAGATGTGCTGTGGGAATCCCTGAACGGGCAAAAACGCAAGTCGTACCAACATGACGGGTATGTTCAACTTTTGCTAATTAAATATCAAGTGAAAAACACATATATTTCAAATCGAATAAAAAGAATTTGTTTTAAAGAAAAATGGAAGCTTTTTGAGGAAACAATTTTAACTAATAATTAAAGTCGGACAACGCTATTATTAAGGAAAATCGTTAAGTTGAATAATTACGTAGAAAGAATTGACAATATCTATTTTCTTTATTAATTCAATATGGTGTCATTGTTAACTTCAGTAAACCAAACTTTATTCATGCTTCTGTAATTTAATTGTTGAAAAAAGAATTGTAATTGTTGTAATTGTGGAAATAAATAAATAAAGGCAAAAAAAGAAAAAAACTGGCGGTAACTACACGAGAGTTGAAGTTGCGGAACAAAATGGAAGTTTAGTTGATTGTCAGTAGCTACACAAACGGGACATTCCTAATTCCGCGCGTACACGCCGCGCGTACACGTCTTTCTCGACTGCGACTTACACAGGAAATCTGCCTCGTGCGCCATTGAGGATGTTGCAGATAGTTGTTGATGGCTTGTCATTTGAGGCTTTTTTTATCCTGTAGCGTACTGCTTTGTTAGTAATGCTTATTAGTCAGGCGCCTCGAACGAAAAAGAAAAAAACTTCAATTGAAATAGTTTTTCTACAGTTGATGCATTACGCTGCATTTACAAACCAACGTTGTTCATAATTCTAACGACTTGTTTCTGTTCTTTACTTAACAAGCAGCCAACTTGCTTTAGACCTGCAGTACCTAGATAGCATGCAGTTATTTAAAACGGAGAAAAAGATTATTATACAAAGAGATGAAGTACAAAGAGATTGACTTGCATCAGGTAGTTAACGATAATTCGCGTTTCCAAAAAAGTATCACGTAAAGTTCTGATACGTTGTATCTCTTATATATGTGTCCATTATACGCTCACATGGTTGATCGGTGACGAAAAGTTATACCAGTCCAAAACATTTACTTCACTCCTTCTGAACTGAAGTTAAGGTACTGTATTCTTTTTAAAAAAAAAGACAACACGCGTCGTTTTTGCCGAGTTCTCATAGAAATTCACCACTGAGTATCAGCTCCCAGAGGTGAAAATAGTGCGAAAATCAGTAACAATTGAGATAAGGGTAAACACTGCTTACTCTTGGTGATAGTCAACAGAATTGTAACTAAAGGAAGCGTGATAATAAAAACATGCAATGCTTATCCTTAGCCATTTATTACGGCGCACAAATGGTAACCCAAGCTCAGGATGTGACAGAAACCCAAGATCAACAGACTGTGGCTTCCATAGCAGCCGACTACAGCATTCAACTCGACAATTTCACCAAGGCCCTTTTTGATACGGCAACTTGGGTGGAGCCCTAGAAACATTCCACCTAGACTTTCCAAAACTCGTTCGCGTCTTGTCGATTAGAACACCCAGTTACCCAGTTAACCAGTTAAAGGGGCTTGGGAGAATTCAAACCCGAGACCCAGTCGAGGGTTTGCATAACTTTCGAGAGTGGTAGGGTAAATACCTAATCGTACCTTTTGGTACACTTCAGCGGCATATCAGACTCGTTTGGTCTCGCCATGGGTGTTTTGGCTCGACTAGGTCTCGCCAAAATACGAACCATGACTCGACCAGACTCGACGTGATAGGTCGCCGAAGCGTACTAAAAAGGTACGATCAGCTATAATTTTTTTCAAAAAGCTAGGGTGTACATACTCTCATCTTAACACACCTATCGACCAGTGACAGCGCGCGTACTATCCTAAATATTTTATAAAACTTGATCGAGTTCTTTACAGCTGAATTTCTGATCCCCTCCCCCTTACTAGTGCTATCACCGTCATTTGTTCAAAAAAGTGCCTCTCCACAGGTGAAAGACGATGTGTAAAGAGTGGAAGCAGTGGTATAATGTGATTCATTTGAAGTAAAGATCTTTTTGATAATTGTCTCAGTTTTCCCATGGTGTGTTCTCTAGTTCAGTCCCTGAGTTCTCTTGACTCAACTGACGGTCTTGACCAAATAGACCATTTAACAGTTGTCTGCTCAGTGACCTGGCCTTTGTATGGCAGCGAGGCTAGAGTTGACCTTGTTTTGATAAAGACCTCACTGCTTTTGTGTAAAACAAGTTCTGATGCTAACTAGGTGCATTCACATGACAAAAGCAGTGAGGTCTGTATCAAAACAAGGTCAACGCTAGCCTCACTGCCATACAAAGGCCAGGTCACTGAGCAGACAACTGTAAAATGGTCTATTGGGTGTTTAATCGTTGGTTCTTTTCAGCCAACCTCAACACGCACGCGGCGGAACAACTTTCTCACACCGTTGACGTTTGTATAACGTTAAAGAAAAAGAATTATCGGGACTAATTGGCGAGCAGCCTTTAACTGCCCGTATTGCCGCAAAATTCAGGCCAATCAGTAAACCAATCAGGTCCTTTTTATCACGGACCAGATTTGTTTTTCTACAAGGGCATTTAGACTATATTTGTTAACTATCTCACAGAGCTCTTAAATTTGTTTTATACAACTTTAACATTTAAGTCTTTGAAATACGCAAACAAACAAAATCCCTAAATTAAGAAGTAGGAGCAGCATGCTTAGGAGTTCTGGGAACTATAATACAGTCGAACCTCTATTAAGCGGCCCCCTATTAAGCGGCCAACCTTTATTTGGCGGCCAGCGGCCAAAGTCCCGGGAAAATCGTCAGCTACACACTGTAATAAAAACCTCAAAGGCCACCTCTATTAATAAGGGGCGGGATGAGGGGTGGCCGCTTAATAGAGGATCGACTGTATTTGATAAACTGAAAACTGGACCAAGCGCAACGTTGTTTTCCGGTGATTAATTAAGCGGCCAATTGTCTCGACCCTAAGAGTTGGTCGCTTAATAGAGGTTCGACTGAATACCTTTCTCAGGGGCCCCTTTTCTTTTCTTATTATAGTTGGTCCAAAGTTGGTGCGTCCTATGTTTTGCAGGGCAAGTTACAAAGTGATCACAAAGGCTTGGTGGTCAGTAATACAAGAAGACACGGAGCTAGCACTATTTCCTGTTTTTGCCACACATTTCAACAAGTAATCTAAACTACATTTACTATCGCTTTCTTTGTCATCATATCGAGTGTCATAACCTCCGGCTCATGACTCCCATCTCGCGTCAACCTAATGGAATGTCTAACAACGCCAGTGTTATCGTTATCTCGTCTCGGCTGGTAAGTTTCGGAAATGGAACAGGCTGAGTCTATTGATAAGGGGTACTAAATCGAGTGACAGGAAACTCTTGCAAGTTAGTGTAGACTGCTGGGCCTCGTACGCAGCCTCGTGCTTTGTAATCCATCAACGCAGGGTAAAGGTTAACAGTATAAAGTCACTTTCTGTGATGCAGAAAATTAATTTCAAATTAACCTCAGGGATTAAATCTCAAGATATAGTCTACTGAGGCAGGACCCAAGCGGTTTTTGAAAGATAAAGATGGTTACGAACTGCGAAATTGAAAAATGTCGCCCAAACTTTTCAAGAGGCGCCGACATACTATAACGGTATTATCTTCTCATGGGAAGCTATATATAAGAAGTAAGAAAACATCTCAAAACTTTTAGAAATTTGTACTTAAGCTTTGTGCGGGCACTTTTAGTTACGTTTTGCCCTTAAAGACTGACAGGACATTTCGTTTTTGGACAATTTTTCTTTCGGTATTTCGGTAATTTTAATCTCGAATTGCGGTATTGCAGAATTCTCCAAACCTGCGGGATGCCTTTTTTGGTAGCATTTTGGACGGTATTAAAAATTATCCTCCAAGTCTTCCAACGTTTTCCGAGCCTTTTCCAGTTTCCAATCGGACTTTAAAATGGTAAGTTATTTTTTGTTAATTATTAGCCGACACGTCAATGGATGTTACTTATTTTGTTTACTTTGTCTAAATCAAATATTACCTGACTTAACAAATTCCTAATTGTTATTTCCGTGTTATTAATACTCCAAACTTAACATACAGGGTGTAGTATTTGGCGATTTTTTTTTTTTTTGCAATACTGCGGTATTTGCCGAATTTTTTTGCGGTATTCAGATATCATTTTGCCGACAGGAGCCCATGACCCATGGGTCATACGCTCCTGTTCGCCGATTATTACGGACACTGAATTGACTTGTTGCTGGAGAGACCAGAATTCATGTAAAAGCTACCTCTAGAACTCTAAGAAACACTGAGGCACCTCCGGGTCCCTTTCTTGAGTATCAGCCCTACCAGGAGCCTTAGACTATATATCATGGGCTCCTGGCCCTGGCATCAGTTCCCAAAGTATCAGCGTCCTCCCCTCAGAGAATGGAGCTGATTTGATTAAACAGTGTTGGCTTGGACCCAGTCGTTGGAAAGCCGATTAAGGCTAATCTAGGGATCAAAGTTACAAAGGGTTTTATGTAATTGATCTTGTATAAAAGTGTTCTTAAGTGAATGTTTTATGTGATGGTGACCTTGATCCAGCAAAGTGAGCTCATTTTGACCACGTACCTGAAAATAGTAGTTTACTAAGATAGAAAAACACCAATTGGAATTAGAAGGCATAATAATAAACCATAAAAGAACAAGGACGGTTAAGAATGGAGAGAATTAACACGGATTACAAACCGTGAACTTGAAAAATTTCGGCTAAACTTTTCAAGATGCACAAACTGTGACGTAACCCCTTTAAAACAAAAGGTCAGAAAATTTACACAGGAAACATCACTGAGAGTCTTTTTTTAAAAAAAGAAAGAAAAAAAAACTAAAATAGACTGTTCGTTGAAGTGTGCGTTGAAGAACCGTCTCCAGAGTCCAGACTGTAATGTGCGATAAACTGCATCGCCCGCATTTTCCCCTGACAGCGGTTATATCAGAAAAGGCAGGTGATGTGTAGTAGCAGGTGTTTTGACCAATTAGCATTTCCATGAACCAGCGACAGGGAGGTTTAACGCCACATACAAACTGCCACGAAAACAAGGAGGATATTGTACGGAAACTTGGTCTCGTTTCTTAAAAATGTGTTCACAACGATAGCGATGTTATTGATAGTAGTTTTGCTGTTCATTTAATTGACGTACGAATTCAAGCTGGCGAAAACTGTGTCCCAGATGCAGAAATCGAGCGATTATCTTAAAGCTTGTTAACAAAATTTTAGCATTTCGCGTCTTTTTGCGAAGGAAGGGCTCCAGACGCGCTTTTATTAAAAATCATGGTTTGTCATCAAAATATCAGACATGAAATGAAAACGCCGTCGGTATTGTTGAATAATTCACTTTGAAAAATTAAATTGCCGCGGAAAGGGTCTTTTGCCCAAAATCTGAATCCGACACTTTGTGTAAAAACGCCGTGCCATGCGGGTTTTCGCGCGACTCCCGGGAGCCAATGCTACCAGATTCTACTGATGAAAATCTGTGGTTGGCCATTTTCTCACTTGAAGAGGCCCCTGACAGCAGATGGGCTGTTTCAAGGAAATTTGCTTTGCGTCAGTTTTGCTGCGATCAAGACTAAACGTTCAGGTTCGGCGCTCGCGAATACGCCGCGAAGCCAGAGAGAATACCCCCGGTTCATTAAAATGCGCTAACTGTTGTCCATTGTTTTGAAAATCTGTATGTAAATAAACACTTGCAAATGGGAGTGTTTTGACATGTTTTAGTGACAACAACATAAGGTTTATCACGAGATAAAGTAAATCTCGGCACAAAAGCTTTTCCGTTCCGATCGGCGAGCCTTCCAGCCGCCCCGCTTACTGATATGGATCGACTTTTTGCGTAAAAATGTTCTCACCAGTCGGAAATATCAGTAACCCAATATTCGCACAACACAAGCGAGATGGCTTTTACGCGATGCCGGTCTTTCCTTTTCATCGATCGCGGATTCCGCAGTTCGGTGAAGACGCATTCGTGGTTGAAGCCTTGCGAGACAAACAGGCGCTCTTAGCCTTATGATGGCAGTCAAAGCGAACAATAGCTAGACAAAAGATGTTCAAATTGCGCGATTTTTTCGAGTTTACATAATCCCGGTCAAACAATGGCGTGTTGAAAGTTTGGCTCGCGCCCACAAAGGCTCTCAATGTCATTGGCTTTTGTCAGAGTGCTGTCAAATTTGAACTGTCAATTCCTTATGACAGGCGGAGTCAAATTATATCAAAAGAGGAGCGCGTAAATGTGTTGTCTTTCAACAAGCTAATTGACGTATAGCATGGCCGACTAAGTGCTTTCTATGCCGCGCGCTTTCATCCTTTCACTTTGCATTCCGTGCGCCAAACTGTATGCAAATTTTGACCGCGGAATAAACTCGAGCGTCGGTTTTTAGAAAATCCACAATCCCTCCTCTTGAATCGCATTTTACCGTCCCGTTCAGCAGCTGGCATAGTGCGAGGTACCTCCCACTGGGCACGTTGAAGAGTTACTCGCATAAATTTCACGCGCAAAGCACTGTACTTTACATAAACGTACATACAGTCGCAAGCGGACGAGGAAACTGAACTGAAGAGCGCGTACGATCGGCTGGATGAAGGGCCAGATTTGTAACATGGTTCAACAGTGCGCGGGATGCGAGCTCCCCATCTCGGATAAATTCCTGTTGAAAGTTCTGGACCGCGTTTGGCACGTCAAATGCGTCCATTGCTACGACTGCAAATGCGCACTCACCAACAAATGTTTTTCTCGAGAGGGAAAGCTGTTTTGCAAGAATGACTTTTACAGGTACGTAACGCACAATCGGCCGAATCAAAAAAAACGCCTGCTTATCTAAATAACTGCCAAGCTTTCTCCAGACTAAGTGAATTCGATGGCAGTGCATTACACAATCTAAGTTGCTTTCTTATTTTGAAATTTTCAGGCGCTATGGAACAAAGTGTGCTGGTTGCTGCTTAGGGATCTCGCCGAATGACATGGTCCGAAGAGCCAAACACTTGGTGTTTCACGTCAAATGTTTCAATTGTTCCAGCTGTAACCGGCAAATTTTGACCGGTGATGAATTGTATTACGTCGGAGAAAGCAAATTCGTTTGTAAAGAGGACTACTACCAATCACGCTTGCCATCCAAGCATTCTGGTGAGTGGAAGGGGAATTGGTTTGTTTATTAATACACAAACGGTTATTTAATGTTAATAGATCTAATTCTTGCCTATGTGTGTGTGTTACATCCTTCTACAGACTCTGATTCCGAAGAGAAAGATCTAAGCTATGGTTTAGACGAGGATTTAGACGTAGCACTCGGAACGAAACGCCGCGGACCACGGACTACCATAAAAGCTAAGCAGTTAGAGGCCCTCAAGGCTACCTTTGCAGCTACTCCTAAACCTTCCAGAAATATCCGCGAAAAATTAGCGCAAGAAACCGGCTTAAACATGCGAGTGATTCAAGTATGGTTTCAAAACCGAAGATCGAAAGAGAGAAGGCTGAAGCAGCAAGGAGTCTCTCAGCCGAGTGCAAGCCGCGCTGTGAGATCAGGAAGACGGTCAAGGAGAGCAAAGGCTGAAAACCTTGGAAACGGATCTACTAACCCCGCCGAACAGTCAATCAACACATCACATATAAATTACACAGGTAGGCTACGAACACAGTCTGTTTACTTTTCTTCCGCATTCAAATTTATTCGAGAAAAACTCTTTCAGTAAGACCTGCTCTACAGCGCGAGGTCAACCGCCTCTTGGAAACCGCGCAAGAGCACTCTGCACCATAAGAGAATATAGCAGTCAATTTCTAATGGATAGTACTTGAGAGTGTATTTGGAGAGCACTCAAAAGCTCTTCAACTTGATAGTCACAACAGCTCATATGACATGTTCCGTCTTGAATAAAGCTGTAAAATCTTGCTCAGTTGCCCTTGGAGATGGGGGAAATTTAGAAAGAACGTTTAAACACACCCGTGAGACAGTCCCAAAACTTCCTGACGACATAGCTACAGAGTACTCCGGTGAGAACCCACCGCTAAGTGGGTATGAACAACGAAATTTTTCTGCTCTATCAAAACTGGCAAGTTACCAGAAGATACTAAAAATCACGAATTTGAATAATTCGAGGGCCGCGTATCAACCTCCTATTGTGTTATGAAGGCATTATTCAACCATTTTGCCTGCCTTACATTTTAAGCACATTTATGAGAACAGACAGCTGTGGAAACAGTTTTCGTGCAGAAACAGTCGAATTTTGACAAAAAGTGTTCAGCTAAAAATAGACGGCCACAGAGTAAGGCATGCAATATCGAAAGACATCTAATACGAGCTGGCAGGAAATGGCAAAATGGAAATGCTACTTATCACGAGTTTTGTTTAGTGATAAGGGATTTACCGGGGAGAAATTCATTCGTCCTTACTTCCTCGAGATATATCGTCTAAGCCAACTCGGTTAAATCAGAAAACTTTCGCAAGACTTACTGCTGTATTTGAATAAGGAAATGGATCTTTTACATTTCGTGATTTTTGCTATGGGCGATAAATTGCATACAGATTTCGTGCTACTTCAAAAAACAAACTGCCTACTGTTTAAAACCTTCTATTCTTTAATAATTCAACAGGTTTGGCGTTTAGCTTTTCGAAGTCAAAAACTGCTAGCAGTGAAATATTCCCCGTGGTCCCAATCAAACTAGACCTTTGGGAGACAATTTTAATTCGTTTTGCTTCACCGGATCTTTCATAGGTTTCTCTTGATTTTGGACAAATGCCTTTACAAATTAAAATCTTTTGCTTAAAATACAGTAGTTTAGACGGCAGAGAGATGAAGTTTGTTTCTTTCAGTTTGACCTAAGGGAAGACCAGGCTATTAAATTTTTTAAAAAATAATAATAATAAAATGAAAACGAAAATTTTTGTCTCAAATCGTAACGTATTACAAAAACGGCAAAGCTTACCTAAGCTTAAAGAGCTCAATATTTTAATCGTAGGGGGATTTTTAAAATTACCTTACTGAAACGTTTCATCAGTTTAAAACTGGAAAATTTAAAGGGCGTTAAATTCAAGGGAGAGTAATTTACATCAAGAGTAGACGATGTTTCTATGAGCTGTGTTTCGTGAGTTACTTATCGGTGTGGCATATAGAGTTACATTATTTCACATTGTGTGGCCAATACATAGGTGTAACTAAGAACATTAAATAGTTGCGTTACGATGTAAAGCTTGCCTTTAGGCCGGCAAAAGTCACTTGCTATCTCTGTTTGTATTTATAAGATCTGAATATATTTAGTTCTAGATTTTCTGCAGGGGTGTGCTAAGTGCCGATTCGCGATGATTCGAAACATCTCTGCAAATATTAAAGTAGCTCTTACATTAAAGAAGGTACAATATTGTAGGTGATCCGATAAAATGCCTTTTCTTTCCGTCTAATGGCATCACATCATTCTTATGGGCTTACTGTGTTTGTCACTATCTCTTTGAAACCACAATGACTCTGTTTATAAAATATAATTCGTAAAAGCACCGAGGGCTTGCGAGACAGTCCAACATTTTAATCTAAAGATTAGGCGTTGACGTGCTGGAAAACTAGGCTTTATTGCATAAGCCGTTTTTTTCTCACTGTTTTTATCTACTTATTTCACACGTTTAGCTCCACAAAATTCACACTTCCCCGCGACGGCTTTTGATGACTTTTACATGAAGACTGATGCTGGTTTGCCGAGCGAAGTGAACACTGCTATGGACAATTCTCAAATGCTTCAAAATACGGGATTTAACAACCAAGGAATCATGGCTGTGAATTCCGTTAACGATAACAGCTCGGGATTACAAATTAGCCACTGTGTTGTTGGGCAGAGCCAGAATGGCGGACTAACCTATGACACGGCAGCCGGGAGGCCACCAAACACAATACCTCCTTCCGCCGAGGTTTGGTGAAAAACATGAAAGCGATTTCCCAGTTCTGTACTTGAGTATTCGCTATCTAAACAACAACAAAAAAAGAAATATTTAATGCATAAAAACAAAGTCGGCGAACAAACGGTTTGCCCCAAGTCAAAGAGAATAAAAGGCCTGATATTGTGTTAATCCACCTCTGAACTGATAACGACAAAGTGCGCTGAAAACACTCTCCTATTATCTTGTTTTAGCGGCACACCAAATGCTTGGCGAAGCTTAGACGGCTGAAGAAAACCTAGTTATCGTTTCATCAATAAACAATGCCGCTCGCCTGACCATTAGAAAGATTAAGTAAATAACACAGCTTATTGCCTTGGGGCATGCATAAAGAGGCACGTTTTCGAGCTCACTGACAGAGTTGTAAAGAACAGAAAAAATATAAATGAAAAATTTTGGCATCATAATCAGTCGAAATACGTTCTAATATAAAGCGTTTTGAAAGAGGAAAATGTAACCCATATGAATAATGGTTCGCTAGACGAACATCTGTATGAATTTGTAAATGTTAAAAAGAATATTTTATAATTCTAGTATGAGCAAACCCAACTGTTGTTCAGCTGGTAATTGTTACTCGAGAGAACCGAGCTTGACAACGACAGCTATGGTGATGCCACTGAAAATATATAATTTGGTCACATTCGTGACTTGTGTAGATGAAAGAATTATTCGACATACTGCTTGTTCTACAGGCTTGTGATTTTTATTCAGACGGAATAAAAAGTAATTTCTTCCAGCAGGTGTAGAAATCATATGTTGAACGTGTTTACCTAAGAGTTCTATGTAACTGTTTTAGTGCCAGTTGATCTTGCCAAACGTTTCTGTTCCTAGAAGCGTCCGAGAAACAAAATTATTGTCATTGCATTTGCTTGAATTTTGAGTGCATTGAAGCAGCTGGTTTTTGGCCTTCGCATGTTAGCGCTACTTTCGTTCACCCATGAAAACTTAGCAGTCTTTAAATTTCTTTTGTTTTAAGCTTCTTGTTGGCATATTAAGAAATGAATCATTGTCATTATACTCTTCTCTTAAAAGGTTTCTTCAAGAGTGCCTTAGGAGCCGAAAACTTGCAGTACGTAAACTCGTATGGATGGAAATCCGTGTACTATCCGGCGCGGATGATTACAAAAACAAGAAAACCAAAACAAGGCTCCATGACGGAACTTCTTTTAAAAAGAACCTAGCGGGCGGGCGGCAGAACGCGCTAAACACATGGAACTTGCAAAAAGACCACCCAATGTTTTGCAAAACACTGTCCGCTTCGTCCTTTTAAAAGGCGAAACTGGCTCATGTTTTATGTATGACCACAAGAGAGGCTTTTTAAAACAAGACACTTGAATAGGGCCTCACCAGTGGGAGGCTGATTACTACATTTCCGAGGCACAGTCATGTTTCAGCCAGCTTTTGTTTCAACACGCCAAAAATCCCGCCTCAAACAAGCCAGCGCAAAAAAACAACGCGCAATTCGAGACTTCCCTTGCACAAATTCGTTAAAAAAAATTGGTCTTAAAAGGCCCAAATCAGTAGAAAGGTGTGGGTTTGGCCCTATTTCATCAACAGGAAATTCAATAATTCGCTTGTAATTGATTGTAATTTTTCAAAAACGAAAGGACAAATTTATGTACATATTTAGCAGCCCCCCAAGCGGCGTCCAGTCATGATTCCTTACTGTATAGCTTTGCAAATGGACAGTTTTCGCAATGTGAGAACCCATGCATTTATTTCAATTAAAGCTAGTCAAGAAGCATATGTTTTTATCTTTGTCATGCTACAGGTGAAAATCTTAGAGAAATTCTGGTGCGAACTTTAATGTCAAGATTGTTTTAAATTGGTCATGCGTTATCGCTCTTTCTTTCGTTTTCTCGCGTGTACGCAAATTGAGTGTGATTCTGCCTGGGGCAAGAGTTGACCTTTTTCGCGAACATCCGGTCTTTTTCTGTATTTGAACGCATATTAAGAGTTCGACCACATTTTAACAACAAAAAGCCACTAATGTTCAATTTGAGACGTTAAGTGCACTTCCAGGCTAAGTACTAGCCAACACCTTTCAAATTTAAATGTCAAATGACTCCGGTGGAGCTGTATGCGAAAGCAACTTTTCAAGCTGAATACACCCGCAAAATTTATTTTGCTTCCGTTGATGTTAGAAAGCTTCTCTTTTAGTGACGGACAATTACTAACTCTGGTAAACAGCCTTTCTCTCTTTAATTGCCAAAGAGCAGGGTAAATAGACTAAAGTTCTTTGCGTGAGGCGGTTTGTTTGGTCCTCTCGGATAACTTTAAGTGTTTTCTAATCAAAGGCTCTTAAGAGACGTTATTAGCACCGGCTTTAATGGTTAAAAGCCTTAAAAGAGATCACTCTTACTTAAATGTATTCGGTACCATGTAGTTTTAGCCGCGCCTCATCGTCGCAAAACATCGGAAAAAAAATCGAAAGTTTAAAAACCACAGTCTGTAGCGTTTAATCTGTTTGTATTCCAGGCTAAGATCTGTTGCGAAAAACACAATTCTCACGAGTTTTCGCAAAAGATCGATCGACCCCAGGGCAAGCATCATATCGGCTGAATCACCAAGCAAAATGAGCACTGTTATTCTCTATATACAGACTCTCGTTTTCGAGAGATTTATATTTTATTGTCAGTGTGACCTTGGAAAGAAATGAATATGGATAGAACCAATTGAATTGTACCGAAACTAAAACCGCACCAACAATTTGCCACCGCATATTATTTTCCGAGTCGTCTTCATCGATTGTATCGATATCAACCCTCGCGTGTTTCAGTCCCAGTTCGCCAAGTGCCTGGGCCAGTATCATTAGCTTAAAGTTTTACTCGACGGTTTTAATAACAAACTCAAGAGGGGAAAGCACTTCACCATTCAATAGCAAACCGTTGTTCTATTCTTTGTCTGAAAGGCTTAAGTTCAGAGGACGCCTTGCTAACAAAATGATCGCCAAAACTGTCCGTTTGAAAAGAGAAGATTTCAAAACTATAACTCCACACGTTGAAGAGAAGTTGCAGCGACTGCGTTGCACCTCTTCTCAGTTACAGGTGCCTAGCTGAGTGAAAACGTAAAATAAAGGATTAAGAAGTAGTTAATTAAAGCTTTCAAGCATATTTAACAAGCCCATGTACAACAATGACTTGTTAAGTTGCTTGATCTGAAGCTTAACGATAAGTGAGGGAAGTGGAACTTCGCACTTGCGTGAGAATTATTCATCACCATATGTCTACTCTTGTGCCTGAATATACACAGCCATACTGTTGGGCTGAGTGATGGATCCATAAAAAGCTTTTAGCTTAACAAACATTTATAAGAGATGATAAATATTCCGACGAAAAACAAAAGGGCCTGAAAGAAAGGATTGATTGTTGATTTTGTTAACTCAACTGACTCACGCCGAACAAAGGCCATCACCAATGGCAACAAACTACTACTACAAACACGCCCTCTGTTCATGTTTTCTTGAATGTTGTCGTTTCCAGGTATAAACGCGACAAGAAAAGTAAAGTTGCGTTGTTCATTAGCTGACTTTCAAACAGATTCGTCTTTATCTAGTCAAGCCTCTTTAACCGTTATCAAAGCGAGTTTTCACTTAACTAGATCATAGAAGCGATAATGGAAAAATTCGACACTTTCCTGAGCAAGGTGGAAGAAAGAAAGAAAGAAAAAACACTTCCACCAGCAGTTTTACACCTCCCGAGAGTTGCTGAGCAGCAATAAGTAACCACATGCTTAATTTTGTTCAGGTCTGAGGTTTGGAGATAAAGATAATTATAGGTGTCGTAGACAACACAACAATAGATCAGACGACAAGACCGCCTGAGTGAAATTCTTTGTGTTCTCTCTCAAGCAGTTTCTCGTTGAGCGCACAAGCTTTTATTAATGGCTTTCAATAATTCTACACGTAGTAACTTTTCAAACTCCTCTCACACCATTATAGTACCTCAGAGGGGAAAGAGTAGACTTTGTAAATATAAATTCTCCACACTAATATTATATGAATTTATTCAACTTAAGTTCTGAGAATTTGGTGATAAATCAAGACAAATTTCCTTTAGTTGATAATTTTCCATATTCTCATTACCTATCGACTTTATATTGTATTAACTTGATGGGGGAAATTTGAAGTTAACTTTTCAGAAATCATTAATGTTCAGCTTTTATTTTGCATTTAGAGTAATGAACATCAGCCCTGCATCTAAGTATAAACGTAAATCTTTTTTTTTTTTTAGTACAAACGTCTTTCTCTACCTTAACAGTTATCATTGTTTTAAGAAACTTCTTTCTGTCTATAGGATCACGACGCTAACTTGCCTGCTGAGAAAACGGGCTTCCATTTATCAAAAAGTACAGTACTAACAATTTTCTACTCTTGTGTTACACGTTTTTATTTAGACTCCGACAATAATTATTACAACAAAAAATAACGTAAAGAACTGCGAACTTTTTAGTAAATGAAGAAAATTTTGTAGAAACAAAATAGTCAGAGTAATAGCAACATTGTTCCCTTTGTAGTTACCTCTTGTTCGCTAAAATCAGTCTTTATTACGCATGCGTAGAACAAAGAATGTTCTTTAATTAGGACCAATCGATGCCACTTAGCATAGAAGTAGTATAACGTTCAATTGTCAAAATCAAAAGTCAGTAACTCCCACAAAAACTCAGATTAACGGACTGTGGGATCAAGAAATGCATCCCACAATTGAGCCGTGGACAAATTGTACAGATATAAATAAGGAGGTAAAGCATTAGTTATGCCGGGTTGGGTGAAATGCTCGCTTAAGGGGCTACTACCGAGGAAGTTGCATTCCTGCATATGCCCCTGGGAAGGTCTGAGACAGAGGCTGTAGTACATCCCAGATGGATGTCCTCCGAATCAGAGGGGTGGATCACTAGAAACAGGCTTGGCGAGTTGCATTTGGCAGATGACTCTACTCTGTGTTAGGGTGGAGGATGCCAGTAGCTGCGTCACAGTTGGAAAGGTTTCACGGCCAGCTAAGTTAGTTCAATTAGCGAGGTAGTGCCATGCAAAGGGGCTATAACTCAATTCAGACTACTCTTCATCCAACCCTTTTTTTTTGTGGAAGATTAATGAAAGACAAATTCTCTCCAACTACTTTGCAAAGTGGATTTGGCTTTACTAGATTCCTTTCCGTTGTAGCGTGCTTAAAATAACACCAAGTCCCAGGAAAAGGATCAGTCTTTTTCAAGTTGTTTCTCCCTTACCAAATGACGTCCCAAGGATAATATCAACAGTGAAAGGGATGAACTTCAAAAACCAACAACCCAATACCTTGATTCATTCATACTTTATTTCACACTGAAAGTTTATGCACAAAAAAAGACCATAAATAAAAAGAGTACTTGTGAAAAATAATACCGACTTAAAAGTACACCCATTAAAATGTTATCGCAAGAGTTATATTGTGCAAAGCTCAAATTCGATGCTAATTCCTCTTACAGACTCACACAATGTTTCATATGAAAGTTCTGAGAATGTAACGGTTCATCAAGAAAATATCTTCGAGTTGACGATTGTCTTTCTCCTATCACCTGTTCACATGACAATGTTCTGATACTGTCGGCAGAACTGAACAATATTGATAATCAAGTGAATCATGGTGATTATTTCCTTGTTTGTTGAAGCAGTAACACTACTGTTGGCTTGCTTCTTGAATGTGTCACTAAATGATAATCACTCCGGTATTTCTGTGTCAAGCAGGTCATCCAGAATATCTTTCTTCTTCTTTGCGGTCTTTGGAGCTGAACTAAAGTTAAGGCATTAAACACTCGCTTTTGAAAGCTAACTGCCTGTAATTTTTAATATACAAACAGATGAAAGAAAGACAAATCTGTTCACAAAGGATACTGCCATGGAAGTGTTCAGCGGTTCTCTTTCTCAGAGCATCAACACTGTCTTCGTCCTCGGCCCATTCTAGTACCAGTCTTCTCCCGTACAAATGAGTGCTGCTACAGAGGGACTCGAACGCGCGCTATAAAACAGATCCATCACTTATAAATACTGCTCCCCAACCCAAAGACATTTTGAAACTAGTTTCATAACTACGAGACGATGGCACTGTTTGAGTCTTAAAGTCTAGTGAAATCACGATTCGCTTGGAACATGTCCCACAGGCGTAAAGGATGCAACTAGGTGGCAAATGAAACAAACATGCCGCTTGCTGATCGCTCTTGCCATCTGAAGGAACAGATGTCGTCATAGATTTAAGCAGCCGTTGATGGATTTGTGTTACTGGTGAAATCGCACGGCTGATCAGTCGAAGGGCGATNAGACACTCGTGCCTTCAGTATTTTCTGAATCACCACCTTCATCGTCTTGAACATCAGATTCTTTATCTCCAGGAGTTTCCTTGCCCTAAAGAAACAAAACAAAATCACAATGTAAACATTCAGGTACTTATCTCCAATTATATGTAAAAGATAGCGAGCAAAAACACATTTTGTATTTGGTAACTGTCTTGAGTGTTTTCAAATTCGACGTTCGTAAATACTTCTCAATCGTAACCAGTCGAAATCACCCTTGTCCTTTTTTGAGTAATCAGTCATAATCCCTTTTTCCAGCCTCTTACGGGCAATAGCCGCGTCGAGGTAAACCCTTTATATAAAGCGAAAGGACCACCTATATACAAACGTAAGGCTGAACGTTGAACAGAAACAAACCTCGAAAGTCGCTTGGAAAGGCAACAACCCACTTCTTAGCATCAAACAAATTTCTGACTACTTGGTCAAAATTTTAAGTGACATTTCGTTTTCAACAACTGAGCCACCCCCGCCCCCCCTTCCCCGCCCCCTCGCCATGACAGTTGAGTGAGTTGAGTTGATAGCTTTATTTATAAACGACCAAAATTCCTTCAAAGAGGTGTTTGTAGTAGTTACAGCCAGAAATTAAAGTAGCTGTAGTAGCAATTTCTCATATAATCTTGTTTGTCTTTCTAGTAGTAATTACTCCTCTTTAAGAATTCTTCTTGCGTGCCAGGACTTTTAAAACAAGAGAGTGTTATATTTCACTACCAATTTGGAAGAAAAACAGCCTGTTCCGCCTGTTGTATTATAGATCAATACTGATTGGTAGCATACATTGCATGATAGAGGTTCAGACCCACGCAAATGCTGTAACATTGTATACCTTATTCTCCTTTGTCGTTTCTGATGTTTCTTCTGCAAGTTTCTCTTCAGGTTTCCCAGAAAATACTCCAAGAGGAGCCCACTCTAAGTACAGAGGGACGTGTTTAAACTGTAAATACAAAGCAATGTTTACCAACTGGTTAGTCAAAGCGCTTTTCCTCAAGTGAGTGAGATATGCAATGTTTGCTTCAGCCCCGTCAGAAATCTTCAATCTCCAATTCTCTAGAACACTTTCAGTCTTGTCCACAGTATTTTCAAAGATCAACAAAAGTGTTTCAGTAGGATGTCGAGCAGTATCAGTGTGTTTCAGCAATCTGTGCAAAATGTTAGAACGACTCCAGATGTCCTCGCATTCAATTGCTCTCAACGAAGTGCTTCCCATGCTTTTCTACTGGTTAAGACTCTCTGGGAATTGTAACATATTTAATCTTAAGCAAATATTTCAAAATTTACCTTGCTATATGCCAACTTTTGGAAAGCTTTCTTTGCTTGACTTGGTTCAAAGAACTCCACAAGAGCCGTGATTCCTGAAGGAGGCAGCACAAGCCTGGTAACTTTTCCAAATGGTGCAAAGATATTCCTGAGCTCCTCACATGGTGTGTTAAATGGAAGGTTTTTCACAAGTATGACAGTTTTACTCCTCTTAGCTGACGGCTAAGATAAGGAAGTCACAATTAGTTTGTTCATGATATCAATAATTCCTTATGTAAAATGTTGTAAACTAAACTCACTACGTTTACTTAGTGTAATTTCACACCTGACATCAAGAATACTTAATACTTGATTTGACAGTTAAAAGAACAAGTAACAAGCTAAGCGAGTTATATGCATAACACACCTGCCCAAAAACATCAAGCTTAACTCCTTCAGACACAAGAAACTTCCTTGTTTCTGTAACAACTTGTGTTTCTCCGAGAGCCATGCGTACAGCCAGACTTCTTGATGAGGCGTCATCTAAAATGCTGCCTTTAGTGGTGTTATACTGATCAGCCATGACATCAGCCACAGAGTTCATTCCCAGAAACAGTGTGTTCCAGTTATGATCGTGGCTGCTGAGACTTTTCTTCTTGGCGTCACGTTTTGACTTGAAAGACGTCACTGTATCTGTATAGGCAAGAAGACTTTGTTATTTGCAATAAGCATTCACAGATCACCTGCAATCACAGATAGGGCACACGACACATTTAGGTAGAAGGTACGGCTTTATCTGCAAGTTGTTAGTCCTCACACATACAACAAAAGCGCTCCAAACACAGCTGAAAGGGTCATGTAAAGAGTAATGGGTCATTTGTTGCTAGATTTGTTCCATCTATAGGTAGTTAGATTATTGTTAATTTTGTTTGCAGTGTTAACTGAAAAGATTGTAGACATTAGTAGCTTGAATTTTTAAAGATCATCTTAAATATTTTGACCCAACTAATACTTCTGAAAAGAACACTACATGAAAGGTTTTTTGAAAAGAAAAAAACAACAACAATTCCACTACAAACCTGTGTCTTCATCCTTAGTCTCCTTTGCCTTTGATGGTAAAATGTGGAGTAGTCTTCCTTGAAATATTTTCCCATCCAGCTCATTAAAAGCTTTCACTGCATGTTCAGGCATGACAAAAGTGACAAATCCTATTCCAATGGNGCAATTTCGCATTTTAGGCAGGGATCATTATCCAGCATTACAGGCTACAATGCATGCAAAGGCCTATGAAGCTGTAGCCATTTCTGTACCTTGCTGGATCTAGGGTCAATTACCAGCCACTGTTTCAGGACATTAGCCTGCACTCACTACGGAGGAACGCAGCCAGACCGGAAAGAGTGGCAGAAATCAAGTTTATCCTGGATGTAGCTGTTGCACGCACCACATGCCTGACACTACATTTTCCCTTACCTCTGCAATGCTTTCAAACTCTTCTTCACCTCCTTGTGCAGCAAGTTTCTTCATCCAGGGTTTGTCTTTGTCAATCTCCTGATTTAGTGATTGTTCTCCTTTGTCTCTGAACAGCTCAATATATCGACCCTCAATACAATCTCTATCTCTCTTCAGTGCCTCCTTAATATCTTTCTCATTTCCAAAATCAACAAATGCACAGCCAGCTGGCTTTCCCTTGGCATTTTTTATTATTCTAATATCTACTATTCTCAGAGGTGCAAAGAAGTCTTTGATGTGTTGTTCCTTTGCCTTGAAAGGCAATCCCCTCATTTTAATTGTTCCAAATACAGAAGATTCTTTGGGACTGTCGTCTGTGTTATTATCACTATCATCATCTTCATCAGCATCGTCTCCATTATCATAACCCTCCTCAATGTCGTCCTCATCATTATCATCACTATCACCACTGTCCTGGTCACTTTCTCTTGCACTAGTATCCATAGGTTCATCATCCAAACTTTCTCTATTCCTCTCCTCTTCATTTTCTGAATCATCAATTTTATTATTTTGGGATCCTTTACTTTTCTTGGTCTTTACAGTCTTCTGTTTGCTTGAAACAACCTTTGATTTTAAATAATCCATATCTGACAATTTGGAATCCTTGGCTATTTTGGTCTCTTCCTCATCAATTTCCTCACCATTTTTTGTATCTTCAGTCCATGCTTCTGTGGCTCCTGCAACAAAATTCTATATATTAGTACAGTAATGAGAATCACTTGTAAAGGTGTTGTAGGGAATGCATACTACAACTGGAAATTGAAACTAGGGCTGTATAATAAGTTGTCTACAGTTGACTCTCACTGCAGCAGACAACAACTAACCCAGGGGCTGCTATTGAGAGATGTCCAATAGTACAGGTTCAACTGTATTCAGGTATGACAAATTAAACTTGTGCTCCACGGGTTCCACTTGTTCTTGTCTACTGGTGCATTGACTGCCAGCAAAAAAATAAAACACTTTCTCCACAAGCCTTTAAGACAAAGCAAAGCGAAAGTGGA